CAACAACATGCACAATATTGAACTTATGGAAATAAATCCTAACGCAGCGGAATCTATAGTTAGGATTAGGACATTACTTTTAAAATTTCTGCTGACTCAGAGACGTTTCTGATTTTCTTTGATGGAGATCGTCTGATTACCACAACTCAATCGGTTGAAGAGTTTGGCCTTTGTCGACTCTAGTCGAGTGTTGAATCACGAACGGATCACGTCTCAGGACGGGTCTGGTTGCAGCGGTTCGGGTTGCGGACAGATGCGCGTGTGTGTCAACTTTCCTATGCCTGAAAGGACTAGGCGTGCAGCATCTGGGCTCATGCGGGTACGTGCTCGGTACGTCTCTTATACGCGCGAGGAGTCCTGATCAGGCGAGGAATAACGGGTGCGTGCGGGTCGCGCGCTGCGGCTTTCCTATTCCTGTGAGGACTACGCGAGCAGGGTCTTTGTCATGTGGCACGTTTCCTAGGGCGTGAGGAGTCCTGGTCGATCGAGGAGTCCTGGTTGAGTGAGGAGTCCTAGTCGAGCGAGGAGTCCTGGTTGAGCAAGGAGTCCTAGTCGAACGAGGAGTGGTTTTCCGGCGGTAGTCGACGGCGGCGGATGGCGGCAACTGGCTGGGGAAGATGACCGAAAAATATGAAGGTTTGAGGTTTAAAGAAATCTCACCTTAAAGCCTTCTAATGAATTACCTAAACACCTATTTCAATTAATCTTGGTGGTGCGATTAATTGAATCTCCCTAACTCTCGAACAAGATAATTTTTCTCTCTTTGAAAGAAGGAAAAAACGAGTCTCACATGTGTGTCTCAAGAGGTTGGGACATGGTGTATTTATAGGCTCCATTAGGGACCTTAAGGAGGTGCCAAATATAAGCTTATCCCATTAGGTCAAGAAATCCTAATTCTACTCCATAAGCTAATCCATATTAGGTCATGATTCCTTTCTCCTAACATCACCTTCTAGAAGACTCTCTAGTCTCTTAACCCTAGGTGAGATTCTAGAAGGAATATTCCCTAAGTCTTGGAATAATAAATATGGAATAAAATTAATTTCTAAATTCCTAATAAAATTAAATAATAATATATCCCACTAGAATATTATTATTGCTCTCCCCATTTGGCTCCAATTTAATCAATTAAATTAAACCTCCACTTGATTAATAAATATTAATCTGATTGACCGATTTACCCCTCCATGTTTAAGATATAACGTCCGTGGATTAATTAAATTACTGACAAGATAATTAATCGATTTCTTATTCATTTCCGAAATTAGTACCACTCAGAACCTTAATCATTGTGTTGGATAAATATCCACCTGCAGGGTTTAACACAATATTCCTTCCTGAGCTCATTTCGGGAACGTCATCAATCCAGCGCACTGGAACACGGTACCATAAATAATTTATAATAGCTCGTCATATAATCACTCTTATTTACCAAAGTACCGAGTATGTCATCCTAATAAAATAGGAATCACCCTTGGTAAATCAAATAAACAAGTAATGAATATACACGACTATTTTATATTATCTTATAGCTTTAGAGAACGCATCAATCGCTGAAGGTATAGATTACAACAACGATCAGTGAATCTCATAATCTTATCCTTCCGGTGGTCCTGTTTAATACTTATCATAAGTACTAGTGTAATTCTCTAGTCAAGGTCAACTGAATCAAGAATACACTACAGTTTTTTTCAAGTGGGGTCTCACTGCCAATCTAGACTGTGAACAAATGATTTAGTCTTACAAGGAACTGATAGGTGACCTTTCTGTTCGACACCACGAACCACACCATCTCAATGTAAGACAAGGAGTATGATTGCATAAATAAATAAACTGCAAGCATAAATACTTTGACTAAAACATGATTGCCAGATCAAAATGGTATTATTAATATCTGAAAGCCAAGCTTTTACAGCATATCTAACAAACTCATCCACTCTGATATCTGGGGTCCAACGACTGTCCCATCCGTTGGTGGGAAGCAATACTTCGTGACTTTTATCGATGATCACTCCAGAAAAGTATGGGTTTACTTTCTGAAACACAAGTCAGAAGTATTTGAAGCTTTCAAGATTTGGAAAGCTATGGTGGAAAATGAGACAGGCTTGAAGATCAAGAAGCTCAGATCCGACAATGGTGGTGAATATGTAACCACCAGATTCAAGAAGTTTTGCTATGAGCACGGGATCAGAATGGAGAGAACCGTGGCTGGTACACCACAACACAATGGTGTAGCTGAGCGTATGAATCGAACGTTGACTGAAAGAGCCAGAAGCTTGCGTGTGCAGTTAGGCCTACCAAAGCAGTTCTAGGCAGAAGCAGTCAACACAGCAACTTACTTGATCAACCGAAGTCCATCGGTATCACTGGATCACAAGTTACCAGAAGAGGTATGGAGCGGAAAAGAAGTAAAACTCTCATATCTTAGAGTTTTCGGGTGTGTAGCATATGTGCACATCAGTGATCAAGGTAGAAACAAACTTGATCCAAAATCAAAGAAATGTACTTTCTTAGGTTATGGTGAAGATGTGTTTGGCTACCGCATATGGGATGATGAAAACAAAAAGATGATCCGCAGTAGAGATGTCATCTTTAATGAAAGAGTGATGTACAAGGACCGACATAATACAGGTGCCAACAACTCAGAAGCGAGTGAGCCAGTTTATGCTGAGCTGGAAGATATCCCAGACAGTCCTATCCTCAGTCAGAGGAATCAAATGAAGAAAGTGATGTGCAATCAGAACCTCCTACTCCAGCTCCTGTATTGAGAAGGTCCTCTCGGCCCCATGTGCCTAACAGGAGATACATGGATACATGCTGCTGACTGATGGAGGGGAACCTGAAAATTACATGGAAGCTTATCAAACCACAGATGCTAGCAAGTGGGAGTTGCCATGAAGGACGAGATGAAGTCCTTGATCTCAAATCAGACATGGGAACTAGTCAAGTTACCTATGGGAAAGAAAGCACTTCACAACAAATGGGTGTATCGGGTGAAGGAAGACCATGATGGTTCTAGGAGATACAAAGCCCGACTGGTTGTCAAAGGATTTCAACAGAAAGAAGGAGTTGACTACACTGAAATCTTTGCTCCAGTTGTAAAGCTCAATACTATCAGAACTGTGTTAAGTATTGTGGCTAGCGAAGAGCTCTACCTAGAGCAATTAGACGTGAAGACTGCATTTCTTCACGGAGACCTAGATGAGGAGATCTATATGTACCAACCTAAACGTTTTTCAGATGGAAAGAAAGATATGGTGTGCAAATTGAAGAGAGTTTGTACGGCCTGAAACAAGCTCCAAGACAGTGGTATAAGAAGTTTGAAAGCTTCATGCACAAGGAAGGATTCCAAAAGTGCAATGCTGATCACTGTTGCTTCTTTAAGAAGTATGAGTTCAACTATATCATCTTGCTACTTTATGTTGATGACATGTTAGTAGCGGGATCAGATATAAAGGACATCAGAAGATTAAAGATGCAGTTACCAAAAGAATTTGACATGAAGGACTTAGGCCCAGCAAAGAAGATTCTTGGAATGCAAATCATGAGAGATAAGCAAAAGGGATTTTTGCAGTTATCTCAGGCGAAGTACATCAACCGTGTTTTGCAGAGATTTAACATGGACAAGGCTAAGCCAGTCAGTACACCTTTGGCCAGTCATTTTCGTCTATCCAAGGATCAGTCTCCTCAAACAAAGGAAGAAGAAGAGTTCATGGCTAAGATTCCTTATGCTTCAGCCATTGAAAGTTTGATGTACCCGATGGTCTGTACGAGGCCAGACATTGGCCATGTAGTGGGAGTTGTTAGCAGGTTTATGTCAAATCCAGGAAAAGCTCATTGGGAAGTAGTCAAATGGATTTTGAGATATCTACGGGGCACAACAGAAAAATGTCTGTATTTTAGAAAAGGAGATCTAAAGTTACAGGGCTACGTAGATGCAGACTTTGGAGGTGAAGTTGATCACAGAAGAAGCACCACCGATTACGTTTTCACTGTCGGGGCTACAGCTGTTAGTTGGATGTCGCGGATACAGAAGATTGTTGCTCTATCCACTACAGAGGCTGAGTATGTAGCAGTGACAGAAGCCAGTAAAGAATTGATATGGGGTCAAGGATTGTTAGCAGAGTTGGATTTCACTCAAAAGGAGAGTGTCTTGCACAGTGACAGTTAGAGTGCAATACATCTGGCAAAGAACTGAGTGTTTCACTCCAGAACTAAGAACATTGACATACGGTATCATTTCATCAGATCTCTTCTTGAGGATGAAGTGTTGACTTTGAAGAAGATTGTAGGAAGCAAGAACCCGACAGATATGCTAACGAAGGTGGTGAACATTGACAAACTGAAGTTGTGCTCAACTTCAGTTGGCCTGCTAGGATAACAGACCGGAGAAGACTACTGCAATAATTGAGGTGTGAGGACATATTGAAATCAGTCCTCAAGTGGGAGATTGTTGAGTCAAAAATGGCTGCGGGGCCATTTATTTGACAACAGCCTTTTGAACAGCAGCAAAAGGAAGAAAAAAGGGCAACAGACATTTGTTGAATAATTTGCAACCGTGGGCTGCTAAATTCTATTGAAAAATGGAGCACACAAGTGTTGAAAAATTGTGTTGTTCCCACACTATAAATAGAGGAGCAAACCTCATGAACAACCAACACAACAAATACAGAAACATAGAAAGAAAAAAAAAAGAGTGAAAAGAAGCACAATATTTAGCTTCTGTGTGTATTTGAGTTGTGAGTTGTGAATGAGTTTTAGAGTGTTTTGTAAACACGAGTGTATTTTTTCTTCCTAATAAAATATCTGCAGTAGTCCGGAGACGTAGACATTATTGGCCGAACTCCGTTATCAATTTGGTGTGTCCAATTTTTATTTTTTATTTCATTTTTATAGATCCGACTTCATGGAAATTTCAGCGTATTTTTCCCAACAAGATCGACAAGGGAGTTTTTAGCAGAGTTTATTATAATTCTCAAGAAATAGATAAAGAGATTTTATTTTATATTTTTTTGCAAACCCTATGTAGATGGCGAGAGCGCAAAATCGCAACAAATAGCCATATGTATAAAAGTTGGAGCTTACCTTTGGAGGATTTTGGCCGGAAAGAAGGTGTCGCCTGAAGATACGTCGACTCCACCGGATGATTGTCGAGAGGGGTATGTTGTCGGGAAAAAGGGGTTTTTGAGAGTGTTTTTCTTCGATGGACTGAAATTGAACACAATCCAAAATTTGAAGGTTGAAAATGAAACCAAACATGTTTATTGGGCCACACTTTTACATATTACTTTGCTACCAAACAGATCACTCTTATTGTATTATAACATGATATGAGTGTTACTAGTGAAGAAACGGCATCATTCACAACTCATCATGACCATAATAATCCTCGACAATTTTACAAGACATCCTCTTGAATGCGAGTTTCTTGAGTTGAAGGTCATAAGAAATGTTGAAATTTTGCTGCATAATATTGCCGAGAATGCTGACGGTGGTGCTGAGGATCTCGGAGGGCAGGATGGCGAGGCAGAAGATTTGGTCTTCGACCTGCTGGAAAACATTATCCGGGGTGAGCTGCATGTAGGCGAGGTCCTGGAAATGAAAGGTGACGATTGGGAAGCGATTGAGGTCTTTGGCCACAACCCCGCGATAGCAAAGCCTGGGGTAGCGCTGGTGGATGACGGTGTAGACAGGGGGGAGGGGGAGGCGCAGCTCATCCTCGATAACGCGCTTAGTGGTGATCTCGAATTGGGTGAGGAGCTTCTGGGGGATGAAGCTGAGTGTTGAACCGGAATCAACCACCATACCACCCGTGTAGGTCGAGGGATTCCTGCGCAATGTACGTTTGTCAAACTTGAGCCAGGTCTTCCCGATGGCGATGTGCACCAGGTTGATGTAGTACTTGTCCTCCACTGACAAGAAGGTTTTTGCGCCCCACAACTAGACCTTGTCCCCGATGGCCAGCATGTTGTATGCGTATGTGCCATCACTCAAGTCCCCGATGCAGTAGGAGAACTTGGAAGCTTTGTACTGTGAGATGAAGGAGATGGGGACATGGCCCAGCCCGAGGATGCCGTTCATGAACAGGTTGCTGCGGTGTGCACACCCGAAAACAATGCCATGGATCACCTCGCCTCGGTCCTTGCCCAACTTAAATGTTTCCCGACCCAGATTCCCCTGGCTGTACCCACTCCCGTACCCCACCTACAAAAACATCAATAATATTGGAAATTGGAATAAGAAACTAGGAATTCAAATAAACATTAATATATATTTACAAAGTAATTGCATCCCCTGAGATTTACATCCTTGCCTCCACAACCAATCCTGATGGCGCCCGATAAGTCACACACATCATCTTCATCTCTGCCTTGGCAGCTCTTCACCTTGTAGAAGATGGAGTACTTGGGGTCGTACACGGGCCCCGGCACAGAGATCCCACACGGCTCGCAGTTCACCCACAACAGGCTGCTTGCAGTGTCCATGTACACAAACTGCTGGACCTCCCTCGACCCGATCCACAGGGGAACCTCGAACCCATTCAGCTCCCCTGGATAAATCTGGGACTCGATATCCAGGCTCACATTCATCAGGTAGAGCCCGCGGGATATCGAGGTGTTCAAGTCGTACTCCGAGATTTCCTTGATGGTCTTAGTGGGGTCGTAGTGTTGAGAGGTTGCGGAATGGAAGTATATTAGTTTTGTGAGTAATGTTTTTGAATCAAGTGTTGGGCGTCTCCGTGGCCCACCAACAGCACTCGCCGAAATGTGGATACATAATAATAATAATAATAATAATAATAATAATAAGAATATTTTGTTTGGAGCAAACATTGTTTGTATGTTTTTGAATCAAGTGTTGGGCGTCTCCGTGGCCCACCAACAGCACTCGCCGAAATGTGGATACATAATAATAATAATAATAATAATAATAATAATAAGAATATTTTGTTTGGAGCAAACATTGTTTGTGGACGGCGAGGAAAAGTTTGTAGTTTTACTTTGTAGGCATGCATCTTTTGAGAAATAAGGGCGTGACAATATGCTCTCTTATATAGTGGAATTTTGGAGACTTTTTTATGATTTTTAAATATAATAATTTTTTTTGTTATTCCCAATTTTATGCATGCATCTTTTGAGAAATAAGGGCGTGACAATATGCTCTCTTATATAGTGGAATTTTGGAGACTTTTTTATGATTTTTAAATATAATAATTTTTTTTGTTATTCCCAATTTTATGTGCTTTCCTAATTATAGGTCGACTCGCCTAACGGTTAGACTGACTCACGTAATAATTTATGCTTCCTAGTAACTAAACATGATTTTAAGAGCAATTAGGTGGATCTAATCACTATGTGCTGTAGTTTTGGAATAGAAATGCATACTTTCAAGTTGAAATGTCAAACAAAATCTATACTAATATAAAAGGACGAGTGATTTTGTAAAAATAATGATCTGCCTAAAAAACCCTTACTTTGACATATTTTTAATGACAAATTAGTAATACAGTAATATCCATCTTATTTTATATTTTTAATTAACAAATGAACTACCTAAAAAACCCTTACTTTGACTTAATTTTAGTGGCAAATTAGTAATACACTAATACTCTTCAAATCTTATTTTTTTTGGTAATAACTAATAGTTAATTAAATAAATAACGGCGTAACATTGAAAACTATTACAATACACGCCCAAAGTTCATATGACTCAAATAATTCTAAATTTTACTAAAAATGATGGAGATTGAGGTGGTTTTTGAAGAAAGCTAAGTAGCTATTTGAAAAAAAATAACTCTTCCACGTAAGTCCACCAATACAAATTGGTTCTTGTAAACAATATCTACAAAATAATCTTATGTAATATTTAGTCCAAATGTTTTATTATATTCTATGTCTAAATGTTGTGCTAACTAAAATGGTAACTCAAAATACTACTATAAAAGGACGAGTGTTTTTGTAAAAGAAAAAAACTAATTAATATACCCTTACTTTGGTATAGTTTTAATGGCAAATTAGTAATAACATAGTATATATCCCATCTTATATTTTTTTTTATTAATAACTAATATGTACCTAAATTCTCTTTATTTGACATATTTTTAACCTCAAATTAGTAATACACTAATTCTCATTTAATATTTTATTCATTTAATACAATTAAATGAACAAAACATAACACATCTCTTAAAAATCAACCACAATATTCACACCATTATTCTTCAAGAATTTGGTTTCTTCCACATATCTCCCAAACCGTTTTCTTCAATATCTCTAAAAAATCAACTCAACATTAACCCAAACAACAAAGTTTTGAAATGATATTGAATATTTTTTTTTTGAATAACGTCTTTATTTTTAATATAATTTTGATGATAAAATCGTAATCATATATAATGATTTTAATATATAAAATTTATTTAAACAAAAAATTATGCAACAAAAACAACATAATAAATACTTATAAAAGATCTAAATATTCTCAACTATTTGTCATTACAATTTATAAAGTATACAAAAAGTATTGCATCAAAACAACATAATGTCATTACAATTTATAAAGTATACTTTTCTTAATTTGTCAACTTTCTCATATGTAATACTTTTTTTAACACATCAATACAATCACAATAAGTTCAATAATATTAAAAAAAAAGCATAGCTTTTCTCAATTCGACATAAGAAAATCATAAAAAAATAATACATTTTTCAAAATCTTTTTATGAACAAAAATTTTATGTTGTAGTATAGTTGACTCGACAATATAATAGATGATTGTATAAATTACGAATATATAACTAGAATTCTACATACACTTAAAAAAGACTTAAAATATATTTTCTAAAATTAGATAAAAATTATGTCGCAAAAGAGAGATAATAAGATATCATCAAGAATAAAAAGAAAAGAGAGAAATAGAGCGTAAAATTGTAAAATTTGATATCATATTTTCTTTAGTAGGGATACCGCATTGATGTTATAATTTTAATAACGTTATGAGTTGAATTAAATTATAATTGGTTGAGTTGTAAATTAATCATTATTTGTCTTTATTCTTTTAATTTTATGTTCTAAATAGAGGACATGATTAAAATTATGAAAAATATTCCCATAATGTTTGTTAGATATCTTATGTTATTTGTTTTGGGATGATGCCAGTTTCGGGGCTATTGGACAAACATGGATCTGCGCATGATTGCAACAAAATATTTTTGTTATAATTTTCATTGAAAAATTCAAACGAAAATTGTAACGTTGAAATATTCGTTAGAATTGTTCTCAAAATTTCGCTGTAATATGTTTTCATTGGACTTTCATCATTTTCTTGTAATAAAAGTATGACTCCAAATCAAACTAAAAAATTCGCACTATATATAATATTGTGTGCAGTTAATTGTTTTGAAAATTGTAAATAATGATACAAAATATAACATATTTAATGTAATTATCATTTAATTTATGATAATTAGTAATTAAAAAATACATATAAGTTGAAAAGTCCTTAAATATTTTATTAGTATTATAATAATTAAAGAAGAGGCCAGAATGATGTTCTACTGAAAAGGTAATATTAATACTAAACAAGATGTAAAGATGATGTTCTACGTAATAAAAAGGTAAAACTACACAATGAGAAAGCTTATAACTGACATTCCACTCAAAAATAAAAAAAAA